CAGCTAGCAAAAATTAGAAAGTAGCATGTCAGCAGTCAAAATGCTCTGCCATGCTGGAGCAGAGAACCAACGAGTTTACAAGGCATACATAGATGTCTGCGGGAGATGACACCTTTGCAATTGCGACGACGTGAAGAAGTGCCAGAAGAATGGCCAGGAGGCTCCAATACCCACCGCCACCACCCACATAGAAAACTTCTCAGCCTCCTTGTTGCTCTCTCTTTAGTGTGAATAAGGTGGACGGTGAGGCCTTGATAAGAACTGAGTGAGGTAACCAGTGCCCTATGGAACTAAAAGAGATAACTAGGCCTTAACTATCACGTTTACTTCCCAGATTATTTTCATCTGCTTCTTCCTCATCCCCGATGCCATGCTCCTCAGATAGTTCATGAGACAAGACCCTGAACAGGTATTTAATCTTTTTATTCCTGTTCTATTCTGCCACGGTACTGGATGGGGCACCTGAAGAGGTAGCTACTCACTGGACATGTTTGTTCTGTATTTGTCTGCAGCCCAGTGTCCCTAGTTCTCATTGGCTGAGTTTGCAGCTATTTTGGCTCTCTTTAAGTTCCTAGACTGGTACTTTGAGGTCGCAGGTATTCAAAATGGTGAGTGGGGATGTTGGAGAAGGGTACAGTTTGTTGGGGTACTCATTTGGATTCAAGCAGTTAGTAAAACTTAAGTTTCTTAGTTTTTATCTTCTTTCTTGATGAGGAATTTCAGTTTCAACCCAGAAGGCAAACAATGAGGCATCTGGTCTCCGGTCCAGAACTTTATCTGGTGTGTTCATCTAGCTTCGTCATTGTGTCAGTTCCTCTCTGTTATGTCTTTTAAACCCTTCTGGAAAATTAAAGAGGTCATAATCACCCGTAGCTCTTCGTGTTTATGACCTATCATTTCAGAGAATATTGCAACTCCCTTCAAAACATGCTCCCTGCCTCCAGGAAGAGCCCGCCCACCATCTTTATTGCAGAAGGAAATTCTCTAGTACACTCACAAAGAGGATGCTGTGTTCTTGCTCACACGGAATCATGTCTTCTTAAGATAATGTGGTAGACAAAGGCCACAGATGTTTGGGACTTAGATTTCATCCCGAGTCTCATCCTCAGCTTTGGTTCCATGCTCTGTCAGCACCACATGTGTGTGCCTTTCCCTTTCCCTTGTGCCTCTACTGCTAACAGGTTGGAGTCGTCTTCCTTTCTTTTTGTCTGCATGCTAAGCTCAACCACTTCACACACAATGTTTTAGAGGATATCTCGGCCCACTTGGACTCAGCTAGTCTAAGAGTTTCCTGTGTATTTTCCACTCTCTCATTCACAGTGATACCCAGCTGTCAAATCATCTGTCTGTCCTCTCTATCCATCTGTACCTCAGGGAAGAGGTCACTGCCAGAATCCAGCAGTTCCTCGCTGCTTGCAGTTGAGACCAAGATGATGCCCAATGTAACACTTTTCAACGTCACCGTCATTGTCACAATCACCACCAACACCATTTTGGTTTTTCCTATACTGACACAGCAGAACTAGCGATGATGCACTGATATAAAGTCTTTGGAAAGCTGGCAGTTTCAGGTAAAAATGGTGCTTTGATTAACTTTGGGAGTTGAAGTAGATAATTTGCTTCTAGCCATTTTCTTCTCTCTTTTAAGTAGGAAGTTAAGATCTTAGAAAACTCAGTTAGCTGATATATAGATGGACTGGTGACTTTCCTCTTAAACTATATAGCCTCAAGTTAGAACAGTGAGAGACTCCTTAAGCAAGCTCTGAGCATATTTAGCTTTGTGTTAGGATAATGGCTGGCAGTTCTTCGAACAGCTCTTATACAGTTAGCGCGGAACATCACCTTTCGGGGTTTGCATTATCCTGCCATGAATGTTGTTCAATAACCAAGGGGACAATATTTACTTTCAAGTCAGGGAACTTCCGAACTGACCTGGGAAGCAACACTCCTCCTTCTGAGCCCTCGCCTGTTCCCTCTGTCTGTTTCAAAGCATCGATTTAGAAAAATAAAAATGAAAATTTCTATTCTTTAAAAGTACTTTAAAAATAGAGGCCTGACAACTCTGATTTTTCCTGGGACTACAAGCACCCCGGAAGAGTTATAATAAACATAACATTTGTGTCAGAATGCAATACAATAGTGATGAAAATGACGAGTACAGGAGGCAACCCGTGGAACTTTTCTGCTGTTTACCATGTGAAATTCTGGGAGACTTTCTGCCCCACCGAGGAGGAGCGGAATGCACCTTTGACAGCTATGGGGTACGCTGGTGTTAGTTCACACGCACTTTCCTCTCTGTCTCCCTTGTGAGTCACGGAGGTCTAGGAGGAGGTAAAGCTAACGCTCCCTAATGTTCACTGACCTCAAATCTCTAACTGCCAACCCAGCTCAGGAATGCTGTGACAGAAGGTCACTGGTTGGTTTCCTACTTTAAAAAGTTTAAATTTGTGTTTATCAAATTAAGTCCATATTTTAAAAAATCCAATCACATTGAGTGTGTTTTTGCATGGCTCAGCAGCTCTAACTGGGATGTATTTGAGTAAGACTTTAAGAAAACAAACAGAACAGTTGTTTAGTAATAGAAACACAGTTTGTTGAACAGACACTTCAAAAACCAAATTAGGGCAAGGAGGATAGCAAAAGTTACCTTCAATGACAAAATACTTTAAGCTTCTGCTGGTTAAAATAACTAATAATAAAAATTCAAAGAAAAATAGCCATCATAGACAAAGATGTGCTAAGCTTCATATGGACCCAGCAAGAGAAAAATCATATTTAAATGTGTCTTATTTAAAATAGTGTTTGAAAAGTTGGCTACAGTTGGGGTTGATGAGTAATTTCAAAAGGCAGTCAAAAAGTAAGCTACAATGTATTCCTGAAAACTATTTAAAATGCTGCTTATATATTTTACTTATATCTGTAAATATGGGCCATGCTGCCAGTGTCGCACCAGAGAGTTGATAGCCTGGCTCAGCTTCCCTGAAGGGCTGCAGAGTGGCCCTCCATGGCTGCCCTCTCCACATTTCTCCGAAAGTGCCCTGTCAGTTGAAAGCTTTCACCCAGCTTAAAAATAATGCACTCCCCATTTTGCCAAGAGTCTTAAGAAGGCAAACAAACCTGTGTTTAACAATAAGGTCAGCGTGACACAAGGCAACCAGAGCCAGTAAATCGAACATGAGGCTGACATTCTGGGACCCATCCAGCAATCCTGCTAAGGTTTTCCAGACTCCCCAGCTGCGTGGAGCTTGGATGAGCCTGGGTGCAGCCTCCAGCCCTGGCCAGAGCTCGGCTTTGGAATGCTGTCCACACTAAGGAGGAGCGGTCCTGTTTTCCTCCCTTTGCAGCAGCCGGGCTGTTACTGCTATTTAACTCATCATCAGTGCCCCATAAATGTGTAAATTCTCCCAGGGAAGGGAAGGATAAATAATGAAAGGAAACTACTCTTTGCTTTTTTATTTTAAAAATTGAGACAAAGTCTAACTGTGTGGCCAGGCTAGTCTAGATTGTGCAATCCTGCCTCAGCCTACACAGTCCTGGGGTTCCAGGAAGGGATTAACACACATAGCATTTACCGTTAGTTTTGAAGACCTAACATTGGAGACGGGTGGTCCAGGAACCTGGTAGTCTGCAGGACTTTCCCCGAGTCTAACCTGAATCTGATGGTTTAGGTCTTGCTCGCCTTGATTCACATCACGATGTGGAGTGTAATTTATATTCGACTGTGTATTTCATTCTGTGGGTGGACAATTAGCTGCTCTATGGCCCTCTACTTGTTTTGACTTTAAAGGCCAGGGTGTGTGAAATAATGTTATGCTAAAGAAGTGGCAGGCTGAAGGTAGAGGCAGACATTGTGCTTGGTGCAACATCACAGAGCCCTGGAGATCTTCGGCTAACGAAAATTATGCTGTGATCTAGTCTAGTGCATGCAAGGAACTTGAGAGTTTACACGTTTTTCTAGAGTATTTGTCTTTGAATTACTTTAGGAATATGAAAGGTGAAGATGTTTCCTACATTTAAGAGGTGGATCACAGGACAGAGAAAGCTATGCCTTCCCTGGAGTCTACCCCCTGTCCAGCTCTCTCTAGCCTCTGGGGAGGGGTTGCTGAATGACAGAGTAAAAAAAAAAAAAGAACCCACAGTATCTTTAACTGTGAAAACATATTTTCAAGTCTTGAGTGCTTCTTATATATTAGGCTATGGAGTTTTGAAGACATTTAAAGGATTCATATTTCATCCTGCTATCTGATTGATAAGGGCAAATAGAAATGATGCTAATTGTCTATGTATTCATAGCAAAATCTGAAGGTGTAGTAGTTATCAAAGGAATTAAAGCCATCAGATCAAGCAGGTAGGGAGATCCTCAGCATTGTCAAATAACAATGCTGTTTGGGGAGTTGATTTTATCATGAGTTTTAGAGCCCATTGTCAAATGTTATAGATGGAATTCAACCCATGACAAGAGTATAGAGCATGTATAGAGCTGTGTTCAAATTAAGCTGTCTGGATTTTAAAGAGTTACTGAGAAATGTAAAAATTAAGTACTATTATTAGATGTTAGATCAAAGGGTGATATTCTCTTTAGATTTCTTATGAAACAGGCCCTAAACTCAAAAGACTATATTTTTTTCAGAAAAAAATACATTTCAAATTAAGTGAAATATTTCATAGTAAACAGTGGGAGAAGGAAAACAATTAGATTTTCCAGACCCCTGATTTTGCTATAGAAAGCATTTGGTTTGATAAAATTATCACCAAAATTCTGGCACGCTGAAGATGGAATTATAGCGATTGACATTTCTGAATGTGTGTGTGTGTGCTTATATATACCCTGTGCCTATTAATTGCAAAGGAGTTGGGTAAGGTGTAATGATGCAGCACTAGCTTACACTCATGTAGCCAGCAAATGACCAAGAAGAGGCCATAGTACTAGGTTAGCCCTTTATATACATCATTAAGTCCATCTCTATATTTGGAAATAAGTTAGAAGCTACAAGCTGATGCACCATGGCTACGTAAAAAATATTTTATTTCATACCTGTACAGGAGTAAAAGTTAAGGTTCAGTGTCAAAAAGCACAATGAAAAAGTACGGCCTAACTAAGGTGCCGTGTTTTTAAACACTGGAAACAAATAGCTGCACAAAATAATTGATACTGTCCACAATCATCTTTTGAGACACAAACAGTTTTTCTAACCTTTGTAAAGGAAATCTGTCATTAAGTACAAAATCGGCTTCAGTATCATTCAAGTATTTCATGATATAGAGCCTGTGTTCTTCTGCTGTAATTTCCTCTAGAGCAGCCCACAGAACATGACCCGCAGGATGGAGATAAAGGTTACGATGACTAGATAGGAATGGAGTCGTCATAGCTGATATGGTAGAGAAAAGACTCTGCGATGAGGTAACTTCCACTTGGTCATGTCATGTTCTTCTGGGAATGTTTTTCTTTCTAAGCTTAGCCTTAAATAGTAAATCCTGGTGTTTAGATATCTAAACTATGATGGTGATCAAGATCAAGAATATCAAATATTTTTAGGCATTTGCAAAACAAGGGCCATAATAAAGCCCAGTCCTGAAGACAACAGGGCTTAGCTGAAATAAATTATGAAATTCTCAATAGCTTGAATTGAGGCTGTGCTGTAGACAATGGGAACTATTAGCCAGTCAGTGCTTTAATTCAGTGGAAAAAGGACTTGATAAGGACTGCATCCAGGGTTCCGGGGGCCGTTACTTAAGGAAAAGAACTCATGACATTGGCCTTGGCTACATTCATTCACCAATCTCTCACAGTTCATACACCAGTCACAGAAGAAAATTTTACCTAAGTATTCTACATTGCAGATCTTAAAAATATTTTTATTGTGATTATATTTGTGGAAAATGGTATTGAAGACTTTTCCAATAAAGCAATGCACATGCCAATTTAAAGCAAATGAATTGCTGACAGTAGCCTAGATTATATAATTATTAATTAAAAATACTATCCTTTTCTGGAATTTATCCCATTCAAATTGTACATAAATAATGCCTTGCCCATATCAAATGTGAAGAATGAAACTCATATATCCCATAAGTATCTGATGGCCTTCTATCTAGCATCACTAGATTTACACTACTCGTGGGATGTCCCTTTCTTGAGTTACACATAATTTTCCTCTAGCTCCAGGTTCTATTTAATCTTGTTAACATATTTTCCTACACTAATAGTAGGGACTCAAAAATATTTGTTCAATAAAATCAGAAATAAGGGGATAATTTTACATTGATATTTGCAATATAAAACAATGGAAGAGTACATAACTATTTTAGAATCTTTTATAGGGAAGGAAATATTATTCCATTCATTCTGTTGTAAAGTTTAGAACAGGAAACAGATTATTGTTCTGAATACATATAAAATATGTTACCATGTTGTTGTTAAGAAAAGGCAAGCTATCACAGGATAGGGAAAACACAGATTAGAAATAAAGAGAAACAAAGCTGCAGGTAAAGTGATTGAGAAAGTCATGGGAAGTTTCTTAATGTGATTGGGGAAGTCACAGCAAGGGAACAAATGTCACAGTCCACTCTCTGCCAAGAAACATACGGTCTTTTCTCATCACAGCCCATAGACCTATGGACCATCTGAGCGGTGCAGCTGGGTATTACTGTAACTCAGACAACCACAGGGCACTCAATATGAATCACTGTGCGGCCGACTGAGGAAGACTCTACAGAAGCAATACAGGTCTTGAAGGTTGACACGCGCCCGGCTCAAGAATGAGAGTGGAGAAACTCTGGCCGACAAAGGAACATAATGGCAGCATATAGTAAGTTGACAAATTAAAGGGCAACTTTTAAGAATGTAGACCAAGATTAAAAAGAATAAAAAATAAAAGTGTGTGTGTGTGTGTGTGTGTGTGCGCGCGCGCGTGCGCGTGCTTTCAAAGTCCACTTGGAAATTCTGATGTGTAGACGATGGCTGAGCGGAAGTCCCTGAACAGGTTTCAGTGAGGAAATAGCAGAATCAGATCCTTTGGCCTGAAAGGTGAAGAGAGACTGTGCATACATATGTGGGGTTATGAAGAACCAGTCAAGATTAGTGTACCTTAGACACATTGCAGAAGAAGCCATGCAGACCAGTGAGGAAGAGCAGTCTCTTTACTAAAGCTGATGGCTGCAGTACCTGGGTAAAGCTTTGGTTGGCTGCTCTGACCAATGTGCTGTGCAGCCGGTAAGCCAGTATGATTTCCTCATGTATGAAATTAACAAAGTCAAGAGTCCTGATTGGTCTTTATTTTAATCTCTCTTCTAAATGTACTAAGGAATTTATTGTTTATGGATACACCATAGCCAGTTATTTTTTCTTAATTTAGAGAATTTATTGTTAATTTAGAGAAATTATTGTATATATACATATATGTATATATTAAATATATATAATATGACTCAACTGATATTAATGATTTAATCAAAGCAAACAGTAACTGACTTTTATTGAACTTACCACTTGTGTGAACTTGGCATGTATACACATGTGAGCTTTTTTTAAACTAGCAGATGCCCAGTAATTAATTTCAGTAAAGAACTATTGTCTGTCTTTCAAATGAAAATTTTAAGTACAAATGACAAAATGAATTGTGTGTTTTATCATCACTGAACCTGGTTGTATTATTTCAAGCAAGTATCTAGGATTTCCTGAAGCAACTCACTCGGAATTGGGGCATAGGCACTCAAAACTTTTCCACCTGAGATTGGTCTATTTCTAAATCATCTCTTTCAGATTCAGAGAGAGGCACTAAAAGCATTCCCACCTGAGATTCACTTCCTACATTTCCCTAAAAAAGAACGTTATTCCCAAGAAATTAAAGGTGTGTACCCCTTCCCTCAGACCTACTTCCTCACATTTTCTCTTCTTGCCTTCAAGGCCTGTTTGATAAAATGTTAATAAGAAGAGATGGGCAAAGGAAGGATTGGAGGAAAGACGCCCCCATGTTGGCAAGGACACGGACCTACCAAGGGCGATTGAGTCTACAAGGTCAGCCAACACTGCGGATTCCCGTGAGAGAAGAGAGCTCCTGATTCCTGACATTCATAGGGCCTTATTAGAAGGCGTCTTCTTCCTCAGCAGTGCACAGCTGCTAGCTAAGCGTTACCTCTGTCATAGGTCTGCTTCCAACCACAGTTTGCCTAGTTTCACAAACGTGAACCAGCTCCAGCTCCCTTTCTGTTTTCCTGTTTCATTTTTTCTTTTTTCTTTTTCTTTTTCCTTTTTCTGCATTAAAACTTCTTTGAAAATTTGAGAAAATTCAGGTTATGAATTTTCTCACAGAAAGGTTACATCCTCGACTACCATTTTAAAGGTTCAGTTTTGGGAGACCACCAACTATCCAGTAGTGGCACGTATGATTTATTGTTAAGGGTGGGGGTGCTTTCCTCTCTATGGGAGACTGGTTAACTGTTAGGTGTAAAAGTTACAAATTCTCACCTGAAAAGTATGAAATAACACAGATGAGATATAGTTACATACACAATACATTTTAGTCCTTTTTAACTGAATAAACTTTCAACGAAAATAGGGGTACATGAAACACTTTCAAAACTCTACTTAGGCATTACAGAAGAAAATCAGAATCTCCCAGGGTTTCTCATAAATCGACACAGGATTATATGTATACATGGACGGCTTTCAGAAGGACGTTATAAAGACACAAGACATGACCATCCTAAGACATAACAGACATACCACAAGATTCAATTTTTGTAAAGCAAACAAGGCAAACACATCACTTTTTATGAAAGAGGAGAGGCTTCACCATGCCCGCCAGGATCTTGGGCAGCTGTGCAGCAATAACCTCAGACATCATTTCCGGAAATTCCACAGCCAGTGCCCGAGACTGGATAAATGTATTCAGGCAGTACAGGTGGAGCTGCTTCACGAGCTGTTGGTTTAGTAAATGGGTAGATATTGTGAGAAAAGCAATAAACGCAGACACTGTTGAAACCCCATAACTTATTTTGTTTTAACACTGGAGAAACCTGTCCAGTTGTTCATTCTTCCCAACATGCAGAAAACTCTCCACTCTCTAGAATGACGGGAAATGGTTTATATTCCCGATGGAGTGTGCTGGTCATAATTTAGAGATTTATTTTTGTCTTATATGTGTGAGTAATTGTATTTATGTGTGTGCACTACTTGCATGCAGTGCCGTGGTAGCCAGCAGATGGCATCAGGGCCACTGGAACTGGAGTTACAGGAGGTTGTGAGCTGCCCTGTGAATGCTGAGAACTGAACTCAGGTTTTCTACAAAGAGCAAGGGCTCTTAACTGCTAACTCATTTCTCCAGCCCCAATGTATAATGTTTTAAAGTAATGAAAATTAGCTACATTCCAATATTCTAAAGTGAACACTTTGATCTAATTTTCAACATTTTTTCTTTTTATGCACGTTTGTAGACATACACATAGTATTGCAAATACTTAAAGGCATACATTTTCAAAATGCAATAATTTTATAAATCCTATTTGTTAATCAGGCTTTTGCACACAACAATTTATGGATTCTATTTCAGCAACCTAACATAAATCATAAGACTGAGGGTCTCAGGTGTGTGACCTAAGGACTGTAACCGCTGAGTAATTCAGCCAGTTTCTCTTTAATATTTTTTTTTTTTATTTTTTTTTTTGTTTTTTTTTAAGTTGTCCAGACTACTGAAAACTCTCCCTGTAGCTCAGTGAATTCTGTGAATTTGTGAGCTTTCTGCACTTGCCTGCTAAGCATCACTGAGTAGATGCAGGCTTATACCAACAGGCTCAACTTCTATTTTAATGAACTATGTTATGTACACAATTTTAAAAGTCTCATACTACTGCAAGATTGACCACAAACAAAAGAACAGAAGCAAAATCCAGGAGTTCCTCAATAGACATCTTTCTACTGTTACATTCCAATTTTGGCTAAAGCAGTATCCTACATTTTTACTAGGGAGATTAGAATTATTTCCTGATGCATTGAATTTTATTTCTTTCATTGCTCATTTTTATTTTGCAGTATCTGATTGTCTTATATCTTATCTCTTTTATTTCTCTCTCCATTTGAAACAAAGTCACAATCAACTTCTCTGTCAGGATTATGAACACCACCTCAACATGATTGTGCATAGTAGCAATCCCCTAGCCCCATTTTCACCCTGGAGCTGGTGTTCTAGGGTCTAGTGCTGTCTTACTGGTCACAGTAAGAATGGAGCAATAAGCAGAGGCTTCTTATTGTTCCTCTCAGTTATTATGCTGGGGCATCACCATACATACCTCCTGGCTTGAATCTGCTTTGCCTACAGCTTTTGTTCAAAAGGAAGGGATCCTAATATAGTTCTCAGGAAAGGTTATATCTAAGATGTCCTCTGAAAGACTCTGTGCATGGCAGGCTTTGATGGTGGTGTTGCAATTGTTTGGTTGTTTGACTGGTGGTTTTCCTTTCACCCATGACTCTGAAGACACTGCTCAGGCACTGCCATAGATACAGTCTCATTCAGAATGCTGGCAGTGTGCATGGGAGTTATTTCTTTTCTGATTGGTACGCTTAGGATATTCTTCTCACTCTTGGTTTGAGCTATTATAGTGTACCTTGGATGAACTGTGCAGTGCCCATATTCTTGTCCCTTACATTTAGAAAATTCATATCTTTAGCAAGGAGAAGGGACACAAGGCTGGAGGACTGCTACCCACTGAAGGTCAGTATGGGCTACATAGCAAATCCCTGCCTCAAAACTGAGAAAGAAAAGTAAGAAATAGAGAACTCATAGCCTTCTATTTGAGAAACTCTTATGATAATTCCCCGGCCTTTATTTTCCTATATTCATTGTTCTATAAATTCCTATTAATTTGAATTTGGGAATGAAATTTGATTTATCATGTTTTAGGTTTTAAATTATTTTCTACTGAGAATATCCTTTGTGTTTCTTGACTTGTTGAATTTTAATGTCTTTGATTTTGCACTTAATTGCCCCAAAGTTTTGTTTATTGATTTATTTAATTAATGAATTGATTTTTTGATAAATGTTCCTTTTTGAAGGTTTTCATTTTTTTTTCTTTTGCAAAGCACCATAGTATTTCTTTGAGGCTCTGTGAATTTTTCTCCTGTATTTTGTACTAATGCTTTATCCTCTAAGTTTCTTTTTTTAAGCTTTTTATTCTCTGATTTGTACTATAAAAGTTTAATTCAATTAGCTCATCAACTTCATAAAGTATTCATAATTCAGGCACACAAGCTGACCTGGTGAGTAGGCAGTTTTTCTATGTCTTTGACTGCCAATTTTATGTGGTTTCTTATACAATAGCAATAAAAACTGGTTTCTAATATGATATATATGTCAAGTTTTATTAATCTAGCTCCAGGTTGAACATTTCTGGGCTGCTTATCACAGTAGAGAATAGGAACAGTAACCCAGAAGGAATGTAAATCATTGAACTTATGATTTCTTTACGTCTTGAGTAGAATCTCGGAAAGCATGAAGCTCTTCCCTGAGTGCCATCAGCAAAAGTATTTACAAATAAACTCAGAATGGCAAGAGTGTTACCTTCTATACTAATGTTTTGAAGCAAAAACACACTTTATAACTTATTCTGAAAAAATACGATAATTTGTACTGTCCATTAAATTATCCCCAAATTATATACACACTAATAAAAAGGATATTTGTGAGGTCAACATTGAATACAATGGCATGATATTTATAGTCTTTTAAAGCCCAACTATGAAGAATTTGGAAAAACCAAACTGTGACAGCTAATATTGGCCATCAACTTGACAAGATCTGGAATCATCCAAAAGACAAGTTTTCGGGCACACCTAAGAGGGACTATCTAGATTATATCAGCTTCCATGAATGCTTTGAGAGGTTGTGTTGGCAGCACAATACCCTAGGCTGGGGTCCTAGACTGTCAAAAAGAAAAATGCTACCCAAGACCCAGAATTTATCATTTAATTAATTAAGAGATTAAAGAAATTCACAAAATTCTCACCAAATCATCTGAAAAACAAAATACTCACATCATGCAAGCTGTCAAGAAGTTTTGTAAGTTGATAGAAGCGCTGTGAACTGGGGACCACCCCTTTCTGCCGTAAGCCTATCGCCTTGATCAGTTCCCGGATATAGCTTGACCTCATCTCTTCAAATTGGCTTTGGCTCCTCAATCCCTCTAGAGGAACTGCATAGAAATAACAAAAAGTGGCAGTTATGTTAAAAAGATGACACTAAGAAACCAGGTAGTGGAGAGACACACCTTTAATCTCAGTACTGGGGAAGCAGAGGAGCTCTGACCTCCAAGTTCAAGGTCAGCAAGTTCCATAAGAACCAGGGCTACACAGTAAAACCCTGTCTCAAAAAAGAAAAAAAAAAGATACTAGCAATGTATGAATTTCTGAGCTAGATAAGTAGCATATAATTTATATAGTTTCTAAGTTATATACATACACATACAAGCAATTTTAAACAGAGAAATTTAAATAGGTAAATAATAGTGCAATTAGTAAAATCAGGATGTAAAAATCTTTTAATAGTGGAATAATATATGAACAACTTATGTTTCAGACTTGTATCTATGAACTATGCATTTAATGTAGCATTTGTTCAAAAAAGCCCTTGGCATTATTTTATAGTCTTACTTCAGATATCTGTTTTACTTGACTTATGGTCCCATTCTGGGTCTTCTTATTTTACTTTTTTCTCTTAAACAATTATTTGGATTTCTTTATATAGTTTTGTCTTCTTCATGTAAATCTCAAGTATTTCTTATTAAGATTGATCTTGAAAACTGTCTTTTTTGTAACTTTAACATTGCTTCATGACACTTTCTATTGCTTTCCTGCTGATGTGAGGAAAGCTGGTCATATTTCAATATTTACTTTATATTCATTGACTTAACTATTCATTGTAGCATGATTAGTAAAAACCCAGAGACAGATATTGGGGTTAGAAAAGCAAAACAGCCAGTCACTGGCTTTTACATCTACCTCAGTCTGAAATGACGATACTGCCTTGAGGAATCTCAGAATGAGACTGTCTGTGAGCTGTCTCCTCCTATCTTATATTCCTCTCTAGGGCTGGGAATAAGGGTGTGCTTTACTACCATCTGGGTTCTATGGCAAACTAGTGTGGTTACTGGGATTAAAGGTTTGCGCCACCACTGCCTGGTCTGTAAGGCTGACCAGGGTGGCTACTTTACTCTCTGATCTTCAGGCAAGCTGAATACAAGTGAAACATCACTACAATTCATTTTCTATTCATTGACTCAGTTACTTTGTTTTCTTGGTATATTTCCAATAGTTTTTCCAGTCTCCTCTTTCCTCTATCCATAGCTGTTAGCTGGCTTCCTTTTCCTTCCTTCCTGACTGGATCTTATGTAGCTCAGACTGGATGCAAACTCATTATGCAGCTTCAAATAACCTTGAATTCTTGATGCTCCTTCCTTTACTTTCCAAGTGCAAGGTTTATAACACGAGCCAACAGCTCTTCTAGCTATCGTTTATCATCACTTAATTGCAGTGTTCAACACTTTCTGAACAACAGTAACACATAATAGTGAACTTAGGCATTCATGTTTTATTATTTCTTTAAAGATAATTAACTTCTTGCCATATGTTTGCTAATAATTTAGGTATTTTCCTTGGGTCAGTATTTGTGTGCTGACACTGAGTGAGCATCATCTATGTTTGCTAAGATTTTAGGCATTTTCATCGGGCAGTGGTGGTACATGCCTTTAATCCCAGCACTTGGGAAGCAGAGGCAGGCGGACTCTGTGAGTTCGAGGTCAGCCTGGTCTACAAGAGCTAGTTCCAGGACAGGCTCCAAAGCTACAGAGACACCCTGACTTTAAAAACAAAACAAACAACAAACTAAAAATTTCAGCATTTTCCTGAGGGCTGCCTTTGTGTATTTGTGTGCTCAGACCAAACTGAGCATCGTCTGTTACTACTGAGCTACACACACAGTCTTAGCTCCTTTCCCTACAAATTTTCCATGGATCTTAATGACAATTGTTAGTTCTCATATATTCACTCCACTTTCCCCCTCTATCCTCACTGCTTCCAGAGCTCACCGTTTTCTGCCTTCACTGCTTCTTTCTTTGCACTTCTGCATGTGAACCTTCAGCCTCAGGCGAGCTTTATCTGGAGCCATGTATGGATTGCCAAGAGGAAAATTCAAAACCTCCTCAATTAAGACACTACACATTGGTGATTTTTTTGTTTTTCTAGACAGGGTTTCTCTGTGTCACTTGTTGCCTGCCCTGGAACTAGCTCTTGTAGACCACACTGGCCTCGAACTCACAGAGATCCTCCTGCATCTGCCTCCTGAGTGCTGGTATTAAAGGCGTGCGCCACCACTGCCCGACAACATTTGTGATTTTTACTCTGCATTATTTCTGTAAAGTGCATTCAGATTAAAGAAAACTGCACACAGCTACCAAAGGTCTTTAATCCACCATTTCTCCCACTCCTCAGTGTTGACTGCTTCCTTCTTCTTTTGGATAAAGATACAAACCAAAGAGAGAACAAAGCAATAACTCTTTGGTTTTCAATTTTCAGCTGCTCAGTTCCTGAATACATAGGGATTTCTCATGAGCAATTTTCGCAATATTCAATGAACATTTGATTCTTGTGTTACAACCATACAGATATATGACATGCATGCCTACGATCACTACAATCTCTTCTTTTCAGTTACTCCATAATGTAATTATTTCAAAATCATGTACCTCTCTTTAAGCTTCCAAACAAATCCCTATAGCTAACTCACACTGACATGTGAATATGAAACTATTTTTCCATTTAAACCCCTTTATTAGAAAATTTTTTTAGAGCTTGTGTGCCATCTGTTACCTGTTCCTAAAGTTTTGCTTTAATTTTTATGGCACATAGGAAATTAAGTTGATAATGATAAGATTATCAAACTTTCCCTTGCAACTTTCCCATTTTGTTTGTTTGAATTTGTTTTTATTTACCTGCATGTGTGTGTGTGAAGGTATATACCTGTGTGTATCTGAAAGCATATACATACTGTGTGTGAGTGATTGTATATGCCAGAAGAGGGTGTTGGATTTCCTGTGCCTAGAAATACAGGCTGCTGTGAGCCACCTACAGCAATGCTGGGAATGAAACTATGGTCCTTTGCAAGAGCACTAGCCCTCTTGACTGCCAGGCCATATGTCTAGACTTGGAATTTTTGTTTTACAAAGGTATTTCCTATTTGATGTTTGAAAAGTTTGTATTTCTTCATTTGTTTTTAAGCAATTTTAACATTTACATTTAACTAAATTATCTGGATATATAGATATATATCTATATTTTTGAGCAAAATAAACTGATGTTTTTTCTAAATATGAAGCTGTTTCTCTTAACATTGTTGCTATTTATTAACTTATGATATGTTGACTATAGTGTTTAAATAGCTGTGTGACACTTGAATGCATCCATCCATCTCTTAGACTATAAGAAGCACATGACATTCATTCCCCTCATATCTCTGTAATGCTTGCTTATTTATCCCATTAGATCTAAGATGTTTTTCCAAACTCTGTGCAGTTCTCCCCACTGGCCAAAATGTTATTCAAAGTTTCATTAAGATACATAGGACATGTTAGTACTTTCGTGGGGATTCCATGAGAGTACTCTCTAGTCTAAGGAACTGCCTCTTCCTTCTCATCCCAACCCCCCTTCCTCAGTTGTCTGAGATTTGTGCCGCTAGCAGAAGTCCCTGTGATGCAGAGAAAGATACTCGCGCACGTCAGCCCATCCTGAGGTCTTAATTCCCTGTGACTCTCTTGCAAATCAAAGCATCAATTATCTTTCTGCAGACTGAACCTGTGGTGGGTGGGAAAGGTACAGAAAGGCTTAGTGTATACCACGTGCTAACAAATTCTGTCCTCATTTGTTCCCTTCTGCCATGGTTGTTCCCAACTTTTGCACCCAAACTTCCACCCACTCCTTATGTGTTCATTTGTAGTCGAATGCAACTGAGGACTCCAGTTATATGATACAGTATGGCCACTAAGTGGGAGAAACCTGAGTTTTTCTTGTATACCACCCTCCCCCGCCCTGGGACTGTCTGAGTAACACACACACACACATACACACACACACACACACACACACACACACACACACACACACTGCAGATGCACCAAGTCAGTGATCCTTGTGGCCATTTGCTGTCACAGTCAAACCATCCCCACACCCTGAGAATAGTTCCAAACAAGTGTCTATGTGTTGCACAGTGAATATTTCTGTGTGTGCATGGTAGGTTTAATAATGGGAAGCATATCTTGTGTTCATGTTATATTAGTTAGCTTGTAAAACTGAATTAAGTAAATAAGTTTGTGATTATATTTCATGTAAAACCAAGAAATCAGCTAGGCTATTTTAGTCTTGTATGACTGACCAAGAAAAATGAAAAAAAAAAAAAGGCCAAAAATGCTTTCTTAAGGTCAAAGACAATATATTAGAGATTATTCCTTCAGAGTTATGATCTACATTTTATAGCTGGTATGTATGACTATATTTTTTACAGTTACCCTGTGAGTTAAAAAGTAAAGTAATAAGTGTACTCACTTGTGTTAAGAAGGAGCAAGACTTTCATGCAGAGAAACTCCTCATGGGTCACTTGGAGCTTGACAAATTCCTGTGGGATTTGCCACATGGTAAGGCACAGCGAGTAGAACGATGACTCTTTCATCCTCTGCCTTTCGTCACGCACGGCACGGAAAAGAAAACCAGAGCCTATCAGCCAGGCGGTTATATAATTTGTCAGTAGACAAGATTTCGGCAATTATTTTTCCAATTGTTGAAGTTACTGATATATTTAATAAGATAACTTAATATTTGATGTTTTAAATGGTTCTAAACATTTACTAAATTGTTAAGGCAAAACATTTAGACATAAAATGATATTAAATACACATAGATCAAAGTTAATATTGTCTTGGTTTTATCATCACGCTTTAAATACCTAAACCAGCTAAGGGCACTGTTGCAGGAACTCTGAGCATTTGGAGCCAGAAAATGCTTCATTTACTGAATAACATGTGTGTTTGTATGTGTAAATATAATTTTGTACACTTGTTAATGGATTGCTTCAGTTCATGAAAATTTACAGCACTGATATTTTAGGGGATATATGTGTGTCACCTAAAAACAAACAGAAGAATGGTGTTAAACGTTAAATAATCGGAACGGTTAAGATAAGTTCTGAAGATGGAGGCGTCTTATCTGAGGCATTCTCTCAGGCATGTGCTATTCTGTGATGTCAACATTGGACAGTGCAGCTAGAGGAACAGTGGGATGAAGACAGGATACACACACAAAAGGATTAAGGCTAATCCTGGCTCCCCAGGTCTGTGGCAGGTTATCCAGTTCTCCCGAACCCCAGTTTCTGAATTCTTAAGGAAGGATGCTGAGTTCTTGCCTATATCAAGGGACTATAAGTTAAAGAGGAATGAATGAAGCATGAAGATTGTCAACTGAGAAGACATCAGACAAGTGTCAGTTATCAACAGAGATGCTTGCAACTTGACTTTCACTATCAGAACAGTGTAGACAACGTCATGGGCAAATTCTTACCACCTGAAGACCACATGCAGAAAACCCTTTAGATATAATAAATCAAATTGAAATATTTGTAGATTTTATGATTACTTTTAAAATGTAAACAAGCACTGTCAGGCAAAAATATTTCTGATAAATGTCATTGTTTCCACAAGTATGAAAGTCTGAAAGCTTAATTTGATATGACAAATATTTAATTTTATATTGAAATGTACATCTCAGTAAGCTTTTGAAAAAAATAAAAATATTAATTTGAGATAAAAATACATTTCCAGACAGGAAGAAAGGACTCCAGATAACAAGTTAACGGCACAAAGAATTTAACTTAAACTTTCAAATAAATAAACATAGATTAAAGCCTTTCTGAAAAGGTCTCCAAACTCTTGGGAAATAATGCCATGCACTGGCAAACTCGATTCCCTAAAATTAACTTACATCTGTAGAGCACGGGAAAACTGAGCAAAGAGAAAGTCAAAAGAATAGGAGAAATCTTTGTAAACTACACATTTGACATCAGATTAATATCTAGAATATGCAAAGATCATAATCTAAAAATCAAGAAATCAAATAACCTAATCAATAACAAACTAATGAAATGAGCAGACAGTTCCCAAAAGTCAGAGTACAAATGGCCAACCAACATATGAAATATGCTCATCCTTATGAGTCATCAAGAAAAAGTTAATTAAAGCTATATTGAGATTTCATCTTCCCATTTTACCGCAGTCAGAATGGCAGTTAGAATAACAACCCGCTCTGACTCAGTGTGGGCAGAAGGAAACCCTCTACACTGCTGCTGGGAATGTCAACCAGCCCTGCACTGAGGAGATCAGTATAGCGGCTCCTTAGAAACTAGAAACAGATCTACTATTATTCAATCTAAACACTCCTGAAGGCCTCCAAATCAACACATCATAGAGACCCTCACATCAATTCATCAATAGTTATCGCTGCATGATTCACAGTAACCAGGCTATAGATGGATAAAGAAACTCTGCATGTGTGCACGGGTATGTGTATACATGTGTGTTTTGTATATACTTCATATCTATAATGGAGTTTTATTTAGTTATGAAGGACAAAACTATGCTTTTACATAAATGGATATGTTGTTTTTAGATAAATGGATATAACTAGGCATCATGTAAAGTAAATTAAATTGGACTTTGTAAAACAAATACATTTTCTCTCATGTGTGGATTCTAGATTACACATATACACGCATACACACATGCATATATTATGTAATGTATGTATATATGACACAATGACACAAAAGTAGAAGAAAACTGTCCAGAGAAGTGAAGAGGACTGGCAGGGGCAGGTAGAGATGGAGACAGTGTTAAAATGCATATCCTTATTGAAAATGTCTTTATGAATCCCTGCACTATGTACAGTGATATAGATGGATAAATGCTGGTGAGATGGCTCCGTTAATGACAGCCTCTGCTGCCAAGGATAACGACCTGAATTCAATCCTTAGGATTTCCACAGGTTGTCCTCTGATCTCCATACTGTGCTGTATGTGTGATCACCCACACATCACAATACACAAAATAAATAAACAAATAATACATAAAGTATATATACATAAATAAAGAAAGGTGACTTTATCAAACAAAGCAGTTCTCAGAAACTATTTCAGGAAATTTTTGTTGTTTAGGACACTAAACACAGGATCTTCTATTGCAATGTAGTTTTACAAATCATATCATAATATAATAACAAAAGCACCAAAAATCACAACTTACTCATTTAGGATTAAATCAGGTGCAAAGTATAGCATCTGCCCACTGACATGCTTGTAGGATCTCCAGCCCAGGCCAAACACCATCAGACTCATCCAGGAGTACTGAATCAGGGTTATCTGGTCATCAATATGCAAGTTCCGGAAACCTACAAACATTGTGAGAGAAGACAATCACAGAAATCAGGTGAGCAATGTTAAAAATCTGTAGGAAAGTGAAACAAGATACTGACATGTTTCCCTAAAAGTCACAAAATACTCATAAATAACACAGCCTAAAAAGAGACAAGGGGGAGCTACTTCATATGTCATGAACATCATTCACTGACTTAGTGCTAGTGGGGGTGGCTGACTGAATTAATCGTCTGGATTCATGCCACACCTATACTGAGACCAATCTGCATGCTGTACACAATATTAAAATGATGAAAATCAATGCTAGCATCCACACATGGATGAGAACATGTGGCATTTGTTTTTCAGTGCCTTCTTGACACAATATTCTGTCCTCGTAAACCCAGAGTAGCTATGGTGCTTGCATAATCCCTGTATAGGACTTGTACAAGTTCAAACCTGTAGGCATTCCAGCATGGAGAAGGGGAATTCAGAAGCCCCACCCCTTGCCAAGGACCTATAGACAATTGATGGCTTCTCAAGGAGGGAAAGTCAGTTTCCTTTAAGGATGTGGTCCCTGGTAGGTCAACCAGACTCACATGAATGGCCCCATACGGTGAGTATATGGGCAGCACAAATTTGACCCCGTCAGTTATTAGTGGAAAAGAAAAGAAAAAGCAAGTAAAAGAGGACAGGATGTTGGGGGGGGGAGTGGGAGAAGTTAGGGAGAGAAGTGGGCATGAGTTTGCATCAGTTGTGTTAGGGAAACACATGAAGAAGAAAATGCAAGATACTTGTTTTGCATATGAAAGCAAGAAGGATTTAAACATTTCTTTAATAGATTTCCCCAAATCTGAAATAAAAGCAAAGAAACAATATAGGATAAAAATGACAAACTTTGGACATATTTGGGAGACCTCAAAAATATTGATTGCTGTTGAGTATATGAGCTTGAAGCCTGGGAATACATCAGGGAAAGAATATGAATGTGAATTTCACTGTAACTTACAACAGCTGAATAATGAAATTGGATTTAATATTTTAAGATTAAATGAAAATGAATGTTTTATGTGAGCATCAAACTCTTTCCATGAAGCTCTCTGAAAACCACTTATTTTCCATTCACAAATGACCTAACTCAGAAATAAAACCAGAGCAACACTTTGTCCACTAGCTATTGAGGGAGAAGGCACTTCTTCCTCTGCTCGATGCACAGGTTCTCTGCGCATGCTCCCAATGGCCCCGTCACCATAGGGACAGTTGAGAAATGGCACTTATCTTAGTATTCCTTAGCCATACCTGGAGATGAAAACTCGAGTGTGCCCCTTACCAATAGTATCCCAGCAACCTTCTGCCTTTTTTGAGGCACATCCTTCAAGGTTTAAACATTCCCCCTCTCATTACTCCTGTCTGTCTCTGCTTGACTACTGAGTCCCTCCATTTGGAGTTTGGTAACAGTCAATGCTGCTAACAGGTAAAGCGGATAAACGCCCTGCTGTCCTCTGCATCTTGCTTGGTGTGATTTGTGAAGCACACACTGCTAGGATTTTGAATCTGAACCAGCAATGACAAGGGGTGGTTATTTACTGAGTGTGGTAGAGGGTACTGATGGGCCCAAGGGATGTATGCATCTGTGAGTACCAGCTCATTGTCCTGTCGGATGTCTCACTTTGTGCTGTATTCCAAACCTGTCCTTCACCTCAGCTGAATGAATTCCTGGCGCCCTCCAGAGGTGTTTTCCTTCTTTCCTGATGTGAGATTCAAGGGTTTTTCCTCCCTCCCTTCCTCCCTCTCTCCCTTTCTTCTCTTTTTCTTTTCTTTTTTTTATGATTAGAATAGTTTGTTTTCCTTTGTTTTGATGGTGTTGGCATCCACAAATCTAACTTACTTTGACTCCCTCAAGCCAAAAACAACTGTGGCATAGTAATTTTAGAATTCCTTATTTTTATAAGACTTAACTACTTCTTCAGGTGTATATATACATATGTGTGTGTGTGTGTATGTGTGTGTATTTGTGGTATGTCATTTCAGAAAAGTGTGTATTTTAACACATAGTGTAAATGTTAAAGTGTATTATAGTATACTTTACTAAAATATAAGTACCGTATAAATTCAACACATAAAGCACAAGTATTGCTTATCATTAACTATTCAGCATTCTTTGATAAAATCCAGAATCAATTCATAAGAGATATGATTTTTTTTTACTTTTTAAAATTTTTAAGGTGTAGATTCCCCACAGGAGGCACATTTAGAGCTGTGTATTGGTGTGATTCAAAGGCTCTGCGGGAAGGCCTGAACTGCACTGCTGACTCTGGCATTGCCTTTACGCTACATCGAACAAGTTAGGCCATAGGATAAAAATACCAACTCAATCATTGACTAAAGATTCAGGATAACTATTCATTTTTGTTGAGGAATATGCAAATAATTTTTAACCCATCGATGGATACTGCAACAGACTTCTCATTTGATTAATGATTATAGAAAAGAAACTAATCAAATTGAGAAGCAATCCCCAATTTAAAATAAATGAACCGTGCATGGTCCTATGCTCTTGTGACCTCAGCACTGAGAAGCTGTAGGCAGGAGGATCAAAAGTTCAAGTCTATCCTTGGCTACAGAGTAAGTTCTAGGCCAGCTCTGGCTAAGGGAAAACCAGTGTCAAAATAACAATGTGTATTAAAAATAAAAGGAAAGAAAAAAAGAAAAATGCCCAAAACAAAACAAGAGCAAAATTATAAGCCAGAAAGCATTTCCTGTATGTTACAGAAAACATAAATATAATTAAAATATAAAGGCTGTGAATGCAATAAATTTAGAAGACAAATTAGGCATCACTGGCCTGGGAATATAGCTCAGTCAGCAAAGCGCTCATCACACAAGCATGAGGACCTAAGTTTTCATTCCCAGCATTCCTATAAAAAAAGCCAGGCTTCCTGTATCTCATAATCCCAGAGCTATGGGGAAGCAGAGACAACTGAGTCCTTAGAGCTGCTGCCAGCCATTCCAGACAAAAGAGTGAGCCCAGGTTCAGTAAGAAAACCTGTCTTAAAAAATACGGTAAAGAGGAGATGACACTCAGTGTCAACCTCTGGCCTCCACACATGCACACTCTACCTATGCGCATATCTGCATGAATAGGTGCATACAAATTACATATATATACACACACACACAATTAAGCATTCTTGATGAAATGTGTATTTGAAATACTTTCAGAATACTGATTCTGTATATATTATTTATTTATCAGATTGTATCATATGCATATATGAATTTTATTATATGTAATATTACAGGCTACTAGAAAGTGAGGCTCAATGAATTATATATATAAAAATAGTAATAGAATGCTTATTACGACCTCTACTGATTCACTCATTATATTCTATAATATTCACGCTCACTTTGAACCCTTCTAATGTATTATAAAATTTCTAAGTATTTGATGCAATGATGCTAGAGATTTCATCTTAAGTCTTTGTTTTATACTAATTTCTTACTGGTTTTAAAACTTTTACAAAGTTAAACATATATGATTCTTTTTCTTTTCTGGAAATACTATTCTGCTTGTGTTTCTAGCACTTTATTCTCTTTCTTACGGCCTTTTTGTGTCTCTCTTACGTTCTATGCTCGTCAATGTCTTGAAATAAAGGAGCACTTTACTTTCTTGTAGTACAAAAGACAACTTTTATTGAAATATTTCAAAACCGACTCAGCTACTAACATTCACAGCAGAAAATACGTTTCCATCTGACAGAATAGAACTCAGAAAATAGCCTACTCCCCCCCTTTTGGAGGTGTGTCTGTGGAAAAGGTCCAATGTTAAATTGACTTGAACATGGCTGACTCAGAAGCCCAAAGTTTCCCCCCATTAACTGTGATACCATTCCAACATTTTATACTGAAACAAAGCCAGGAACACAGAGACCAAATTCCTGTGGCGGTAATGATTAGAGAGATTTAGTGCATTTGAGTTGATAATCAAACTGGAAAAGGGTACTTGTAGGGAAGTGGTGGACGATGGCTCATTGTGCTTAACAAGTAGTGTGAAAAAGGTCCCTTTCTTTAAGTGTCTTGACCTAATAATCCTTGAAAAAAAAATGACCGTGAATTGTCCAATTCTCAATACTTTAGGATGAAAAACGGCTAAGTAAAACACAACAGATGGCATGTGAGACTTGCTGTGACTTCCAAAGTTCTATTAAAAATGTACAAGTTGTATTTCTGTTAAAAATTGTCACACAGTTGAAACAGTGAACTTCAACCAAGGCACAGCATGACACATCTCAGGACCTCGGGGCACAACCTGCAACTGTCACCATGTTTGTGCTTTTTCAGACCACAGAAAATAGGCAGTGCATCACCAACACATTCGATGACCTGCCGTGATCAAGAACTTCACAAGATATTACCTGTCTCAGAGGCCAATCTTGAACCCAAGATGCTTCCCTGCCTCTACCTCTTCCCGAGTGTTGGGATTCAGTCTAGGAAGATATGGGAAAAATTAGAGGGTGAACGCTTAAAGGGGGGTAAGAAGCCAGCAAAATATGTGGGTGAAGGAATGGGCCTCCGGGTAGAGAAAACCCAGGATGAGCAAGAGAGGAACTGAGCAAAGACTCCCAGCAAATGTACCTTAGATTTCGTGGGATAAAGGGAAGTTTCAGGGGAGTGCTGTCACTTCCAGAACTGGGCTACAGGAGGGCCATGGGGTTTAAATACAGAATTTAGACTTTATTCTGAAATGGAAAAGGGAAAACATGATTGGTTACAATTATTTTAGAAAGATGATTCTTGGGTTAGAGTATTGTTTGAGAGCTGAAATGTAGGTAAAGACATAAAAGTTGATGACCAAACTAAGCTGCATCACAAGCCATGGAAGTAGCAGGATAAAGAGTCATGTATTGAATAAGAGGTGTTGATAGAGCTGACAACCAACCGGGTAGGGGATGACAGAGGAGAGAGGCAAAGATGGTTCTGAAAGCCTGGCTGGGGTGTCATTTCAGGATACAGAAAAGTGGTTTCGACATAT